GGGAGATAAAACAAGTGGGCAGCCTCGATTGCACAGATGGCGCAAGCAATAATATCGACTCCTAAGTGTGACCACTCATCGATTACTCATCAAGCATAGCGAAAACGTCTGAACATTACTAAAAAAATGGCAGCATATCCATGGAGTGAATGATGGGGAGTGGGGCGAAGCATTCGTCCGTCCATTCGTTCTTGCTTCCGTCCGTTCCTGCGTACGTCTGTGTAACCGCCCATGCGTCCATCCACCCATCCGTGCGTGCGTCTGTTCGTGCGTCCGTCCCTGCGTTCGTCCATGCATCCGCGCCTGCGTCCGTTCATGCTTCCATCAATGTATCTGTCTGTGTGTCCGTTCGTCCATCTATTCAGCACTCCAAGTACCACCATCTCGCATCTTTTCATCATATATTTTCCATATAGAAGCACCGCCATCCAGCGGACATTTCAAGGACTAAACTGGAGGTGGCACATGCACACTTTCTTACGGCTTGCGCTTCGGGTCTACTTCCCACCTTTAACCACCTCGAGTTCATGGTATATACTAGTTCACTGTATTCATGGCTATGCTGCCCAACGCTCACTAAACCTTTCTAAAACCAAGGAGATTACACCCCGCGAGTATGACGTAGCAACCCTTTCTTGTCAGATCGTGCTCAATGTACATGCCAATAGCTGCTAATGGGGATCGCAGCGTGCGCGTTACCTAAAGGCCGAATGCTCCTGTCTCTCATTCCCCCTTAGCAGCCATTAACATGTGCATTGAGCACTATCTTTTATTGTTCAACAACGCACAGAAGAAATCTCTCACCGGAACCACCTTGGAGGTCAAAATCGTAAGGACCGCTATTTCGGGTATGTGCCACTGGTGGTTACGTGCTACGAGGGACTCACAAGCCACGCCATAAGGAGCTTCGCCCCTAAAACTGAAGTATTGAGGCTCTTGCAACATTCGTTACTCCGTGCCTTGAAATAGTGGTCAGATTGCTGGTTGAAGTAATTTTACAATTCTTGTATTCATTTCTGGTGCATTTAGTTTGCTCCCGTGCAAACTGGGGTGGCTGATGTGAATGAAGACAATATGTATTTAAGGAGTAATGCCAATCATGAAATGCACAAAGATATTATGAGGCTGTAATGATTCTAAGCTTTTACAGCGCCAAACTCAAGTTTCATGTTCACCGACATTATTAATTTTGAGGAGGATGGTATGTTTTTTGCCCTTTGTATTTTATAAACATGTAAAGTGCACATGTCTCTGGCTATTTCAGATATTTAAGGAATATCAAATTTGTCTTGCAGCATCCATTCATTCACGTGCAGCGCTTATTGTTTTAATGTTGAGTGAAACCACGTTTAAAATTTCTGTGGTTTCTTTGCGCTATATTTTTATAGCAGCGCATAGTTTAATTACGTCTTGAAATATTCAATGCAACAAATATTATAAAATCTTATTTTTAGTGCTTTCTAAACAAAGTGCCATCCAATCTGTCACGGAGGAGTAACCACGAACCTAGACAGCACATCGCCACCTGACATTATCTTACATTTTTGTACTACTATTTCGGCCTATTTACTCGGGGCTCTGGATATAGCGTTTATAGGCCTTCCCGAAATCTTTCACGCACCTGAGCTCTGGCAATACCGAGAGAAGTCTGACTGTGGTCTTTACTATTTCATAACATTAACACACTGAAGTATTTTTTCAATATATCAGTACCTGTTTATATTCCCGGGTCCTCAGAAGTAACTAGGAGTTTCCGGCACCTAAGCTCATAACAGAATTAGTCCCAATGGCACTACAATTTTTTATCAGCGTTCACATGCGACCAACATAGAGTTTCCTAAATATACACTAGAGGAAACTCTGGCACTAGTGTCTACGAGAACTGCAACGCATAGCGCTTCAGCGAGCATCAGAATAATGGGTAGTACACAGATTTGCCTAATATTCGCACTTCTGGCGCTGTGTGGGTTCCTGTAGCTTGGAGCTGTTTTCTCGCGAAAAAAATCAGCAAATATTCAGTCGTTGCGCTTCACCGCCTTATTCTTTTAGGACTACGTTTTCGAATCGGGTGACGAAGTTCAAAAGAGTTTGTTCTTTCCTTTGAAACAGAACTAAAACACTGCAATAACCGAAGCCGCAAGTACAATTCACCGCTCACAAGTACAAAAAGTGGGCACATCTCTGTACCCAATATTCTCATGGTCGCTGAACAATCACAGCGCTAGAGTCACCTCTAATTAATTTTAGTAATCTGTATGGTAACCAGGTATTTGATTCCACCTTGACTTTGCCCCCCCGTGGTGGTCTAGTGGCCAAGGTACTCGGCTGCTGACCCACAGGTCATCGAATCGAACCCCGGCTGCATTTTCAATGGAGGCGGAAATGCTGGATGCCCGTGTTCTATAACTTGAGTGCATGTTAAAGAACCCCAGGTTGTCGAAATTTTCGAAACCTTTCACTACAGCGTCTCTCATAATCATAATCTGTTTTTCATCCATTTCATTTCATTTTCTTCAAGGCGAAATTGTTACAGTTGGCTTGGCGAACACGACTAAAGGCTGAATAAACGCCTGACTAGGTCGTGCCACCCTGGCAGCAAAAGCATATATACACTAACAAGCATTTGTCGTACAGAATGAACTGGTACATAATTATCCACAATGGTTACAAGAATAATGAAAATTGTATGTGCGCAAGGATATAAACACCGCTGTATTAAAGTAGTTTGACGTCCCAAATATTTCAGTTTAAGAACGTAAACCCCACGTATCAACCAATCAATTTGCCCTGACTTTCCTTCCAAGTTTAACCTTTATACGTCGTGCGTTCCCATTCTATCGTGCATTACCATCCTATCAAAAATTTGTCATAGAATATTGCTTGCACATTGAAAACAAGGATTTACGGCTCGTCCCCATTGCGAAGTCGATTGATTGATATGCGGGATTCGACATCTCAAAACACCATGTGATTATAAGAAACGCCCTAGTTGGGGACCCCAGAAATTATGACTTCCTTGGGTTCTTTAATGTGTACCCTAATCTAAGCACATGAACCTATAGCACTTTCGCCTCCATCAAAACTGCAGCTGCTGCAGCCTGGTTTCAATCTTGTGAGCAGCCAAGAACCTTAGCCCCTAGACCACCGTGGTGGAGCGTTTGCGAAGTTGGAGAGGCAGTGTATGCACAGAGTTTTCGGAAGCCAGAAGAAGCCCTTTGGAACTGCATGATTTTTGAGTGACGTTTGGTATTTGGTAGGGTTACAAGAGAGTAAACATAAACGAAAGATGATCTATTCGAGGCAGTTTCTCCTGTTTCTTTATTTGCGTCAGCGCTCAAGTTCTCCCAGACCCTTCCCAACATTGAAAAGTCGCTGAGCAACTCCCTTGATGAGATTAAGCAAGATCTTCATGAAGTCCGGGCGACTAACAGAGTCCTCGACGGCATACTGTCCGGCAATCTTAGTCAATATCTTGGACATGATCTCCGCTGCCTTTTCCTTCAGTTTTTGCTGGGCTTCCTTTGCGGCTTTTGTGAAGTGTTCCTTGGCTTCATCGTAAGCTCCTTTGACGGATGACGTTGCCTTCTGTGTGGCATTTTTCAGAGCTTCTTTCGCTTTGGCCCACAAATCACGGATGAAATACTCGTCTCTCTGCAAAGAGAGAGAAAGAGAGAGAGCAATTTCAATGAACTGCTATAAGAAGTTTGGCTATTGAAAATAAATATTCTTGAGATTTATTCCTTATGTACAGAGGCACATCCTTAGCAATCATAGCAATCTTAGAGATCTTAACATCCAATTCTCATGCAATTAGAGGTGCCTGAACTGTCACTTCACATATTTGTGATAGTAGGTTGACAGTACCCCGCTACTGCACACACTGAACTTCGCTGTTCGAGAAATCATTCAGCGATACGTGGTGAGGCTTTAGAAACGTCCAATTGGGCCATGAATGCCGATGGCTTTGAACAGTGTCTTTTCTTGCAAGCAATCACCATCTGCTTTAGACACCACTGTTGTATCAGGCAGCAGAAATTGAGACACAAAGACATTGTCTCACCATTTCCATTGCCATAGCAGTCGGAATAAATGCAAGTTACATGGGAAGTATACGTTTTCATCTTTCAGAAAGCAATCACCACTTGTATATTTCTCCATCCTTTTCAGCGCTCACACAAGTTTTTACATGTTACAAAACACTGACAAAAAGTTCGGTAGATTCCCCGTAGCACAGAAATATATTTTATGTGAAGCATTAGGGAAGACGGGTGGCTGTGGTGTAACTTTTTGTGCGCAAAATATCGTCAAAAGCTGCTTAATATAGGTGTGAATGTTCCACACATACATACGTTGAACAGTCACGTTTGTTTTTTTATCACCAATTGTCCAGAGTTAGGCAATGATGTGAAAAGTAGCGTGAGTATTACTAACGCCAGAAGCGGTAAGCTGGTTGTAGCGCTTGTGCTTGTGAGGATGGTAGCCCTGGCTAGTGTTACGTAGACAAACCAAAGTGAATGGCGCCTATCCAATTTTCGTAAGTAAGTGTGCTCCTTTCTTTCTTAAATATATTTGCACCGTACCCACGGAACTTCTTTGAATCATGTATATATATATATATATATATATTTATATTCACAGCTTTCACGAATTGTGAAAAGCACTTAGTTTTCACTCTGCCTTCATTCACTCACCACAGAGTTCAGTTCTTCATCCTGAGCAAGCGCCTCTCCCACGTCGTCAAAGATTTCGCTCAAGAGAAAGGCCTCTTCGGCGGCGCTCTTGAACTCTGCTCCGACACTTGACTTTTGCTCGGTTAGTGTACGCGCATTCACTGAAATAAAAAAGAATAAAAACAAGAGTTCATACCAATCGCACAATTGTGGGGTCGAAAATATTGACAAGCCTATGAAAACATTTAGGGGATCCCACTTACTTTGGCAATCGACGTTACGCAATGCATGCGGAGACAAGATGACCCTTTTTCATCTTTTATTGAGCGATACGTTATGAAATATAGTTAAACATATATGCAAATGTTGCACACACGGACATATGTCAAACAGTCAGATGCCTATACGACCAGTTGTAGGCACTTGTGTAACGATGCCAACAATAAAATGAGAAACACCAGAAATGACAAGCTAATATGAAGCACCGGTGCTCGCCAAGATGGCAGAGCTGGATACTGCTACATAGATCAACTTCAGCACGTGACACATAATTACAGCTGACGTTAAGTCGACGTGAGTGCTGTATCTTAGGAGTACATATGCATTATGATGTACATATTACTGCATCCCCATTGAATGCTTCACGAACATCACGGTCAATTTGAAAACAAGTAGCCAGACATGAAGTGGCTCTGTGCTAGAATGCTCGATTGTCAAGCAGAACGCTTTGGTTCGATTCCTCTTTAGACCCTGACATTTATTCTGCTCATTCGTCCGTTCAATGCTGCTGAAGTCAACTTTTTCTTAACGCTCCGGCGTTAGTATTACCCATGTGTGTTCTCGCTGTTCCTGGGAAGATAATAAGTCTCAATCTTCTGTGACACATACCCGCATGCCAGTGGCACATATACGCCCACAGGTATGTTTCACTGTTTGGCATAAAGTGTTTCAAGACGTACGCAGCGGTACTATGACATTATTTATCTCTTCACCAGCGCGTCATTTTCGTCAAACTCGCTTACCATTCAGTACAAATTTTGGTTCACGCCAAGTTCAGGGGGTGATCACGAAAGCACAAAAATGTTAGCGACCAGACAGACAAATAGATAGATAGATAGATAGATAGATAGATAGATAGATAGATAAATAGATAGATAGATAGATAGATAGATAGATAGATAGATAGATAGATAGATAGATAGATAGATAGATAGATAGATAGATAGATAGATAGATAGATAGATGAAAACATAGATAGACACGCAGATTGACGCCAAAAGGGCTCGTAGTATGCAAACAAAGTCTTCGCCTTTAGAATTCTTGCTTTCGAAAGAAGTCATTACACTGAAGAGAGAGGATTTCGCATCAACATCAGGCAGGGCTGGAGAGCTTACTTGTTGAGCAATACTATGTACAGCCTTGAACTACCCTCGGTAGTTTTTAACGAAAAAAAAAACGTTTATTCTCTTGATTAGTGGCAAACAGTTTTAGCAGCTGTATGTACATTACGAAAACTATGTTTATTCTTTTTCCATCCAAACGGTATAATTATGAAATAAAATTTAAAAACCTTGAAGAATTCAAAGGAAAGCAGTATGGTTTAGTTATAGTAAATTTAAGTCAACTGACTTCCCCACTGCACTACGAACTGCAAGTAGCAATGAATTATTACAAACATGGAGAAAAAATTGTCGTCTAGGGTTACTTTCCGACGTAGCAAACTACGAGCTATCCTTGGACACGGCAGCGTAAGATTTCCCCTTGTAAAGCAGACCCACTCGGTACCAGTATCCTCATTCCCTAACGGCAATCTTCGCAAGGACTGACACTTTTCACTACTCCTTTTTCCCGCAAACGATAGCGTATTGGAATAAACAAATGGAAGCATTCCCCGAACACCCGTGACCATTTGTGTAAATACTGTTGTTTTGTTACCTCCTTATAATTGTACAATGAAGAAGTTGTTTTTTTTTTTCTCGTCTGTCAACCAAAATCATGTTGTAAAAGCCACTTTGCAATCTTTTATTTCTATTATTGGTAGGTATTTTTGCTCAACCTGCTTAGACTTCTTGCCTGCAGTATTTTGTAAATAATAAATTAATAAATAAAGTATGTGTACTTAATTTGTGTATTCAAAGAAAATTTTACTTTCTTAATGGAACCGTCATCACTACTGCGAAAAGAAAATGAACTACATGATGTACATGACGCCTTTCTCAGGGCGCCGTAATAAAGATTACAGAATAGGTGGGTTTTCCCATTGTATAGAGAATCGTCTGATACCGCTGTGGCACTGGTAACCCGGTGCCACAACTTAAAACTATCTGCTGTGTTCACTTGAGCACAATTTACGTGTTTCGAATACTCATCAATCTAATTGTGTAAAATTCTATCTCACCATTTTTTTTCTTATGAAATAAATGTCATACGTACCTGTAAAAACAAGTAGGCCCAGAAGGCAAGTGGCGGCAAGAAGCGACTTCATGTTGGCTGCGAGCATTGTGAAGCATTATGAGCTATTCAGAAGCAAGAAATGTGAAATATGCCAATTGTTTCGATTCTAAGATTTGGCAATGACAGCTATTTGTTAATATTTCATCTTCTATATTAAAATACTAACACAGAAGTAACATTTTATGACTACCCGTCTGTATTTGCTTTATCAATACCTATGTACTCTTACTATATCCCTCTTGTAAAGAAGAATAATTAACTATTTTTCCACGGTTTCACTTCATGGGTGATTTTGTCCCCTAATCTTCAGGACTTTAGTTCGAATGGTAAAACAATTTATATGTGGGGTTTAACGTCAAAAAGCACCATATAATTATGAGAGATGCCGTAGTGGAGGGATTCGAAGATTTCGACCACCGGGGGTTCTCTACCGTGCACCGAAATCTGAGCACACAGGCATACAACATTTACGCCTGCATTGGAAATGCAGCCGCCATTGCCGTGATTCAATCCCATGACCTGTGGGTCAGCAGCCGAGTACCTTAGCCACTAGACCACCGCGGCGGGGCTCGAATTGTAAAATCCGAACAATTCTTTTGTAGAAAACCAGGTTTAAAGGACTAATATGCCTGCAGATGAAGAGCAGAGCGTATCGACGCTACCGTTTTTAGTGACGCAGAACCCAGACCAAACCTCACGTGCTCCATGCTATTTCTTCGGTTTCCCTTCCTCTAGCCCACGCTATCGTAACTGTTTTTAACACGATATACGCTGAGTTTCAGCACAGACGCATTCAAGCGGGTCCCTGATTCACCCTCTTTAGTAGGAACTTAGGCCAATTGAAGTTCACAGTTCCTATACAAGTTATCCTACTTATGACATTTTGTTTCCTGCATACGCCAATAAATGAGGCTGTTTTTAAGCCGAATATCATTCAGATCTAACAGGCAATTATGCAAATGCAAGTATATAGGGAATATTATAAGAAGTAATTGTACAGTTATTGTCAAGAAAGATAAGTGAATGAAAATATAACAAACAGTGTGCAGGGGCGAACCTTGTGACCTTCGAAAACGCATCTGATGGTCGATACACTCAAATACAACGGCGGCTATCCCCTCATCAACTTTATTGGGTATATATGTAAATTAACGGGAAGCAAGGTAGAGTCAGTGCCGCCAGTTGCCATGATGGCGAGTCTGGCAGACTCTTTTTCTACCAGTTTGGCGTCATGTAGCGCGTGATTTTGTTACTAGCTGGCAGCTGACCGATAATCCCCTGTATACTATCTGAAAGCACTATGTCTGCCAGAACGATACCCTTGCTATGAATAAAGGAACAAAGTGTACAAATAACAGCTTGTTTTATTCGTTAAAACTTAATAATGAGATCTGAAAGACTATCATGTCAAAGAAAATAAGGGAATGACATTTGAAGTATTTGTACCGTAATGGCGAATTGGAGTGTTTTTACCTTAATTGCGAAATAATTGTAAAGCATTTACAGTACGATCACTTCACACAACTACCCCTATACGTTCCTTGGCATAATAATATCTTTCATCTCCTCAATACTGCGTCTAACAAAGAAAACGAGCCCTTAATTGCACACCTCTTGCTTTCATTAACCTAAAATGTCGTTCTGGCAGACTTGGTGCCTTCAGGTAGTATGTAAAAGATCATTGGTCAGCTGCCAGCTAGTAACAAGATGACCTGCTACGTGACGCCAAACAGCCAGAAAAAGAGTGTGCCACACTCGCCGTCTCGGCTACTGCCGGCGCTGACTCACACAACCACGTTTATTTACATATATACCCAATAAAGTAGTGGGAAGATGGCTGCCATGGTAGCTCAGTTGGTAGAGCATGGGACGCGTTATTCTAAGGTCGCGAAATCGGTCACTGCCAATGCTACGTTATGTTTTCAGCGACTTTTCGTTCTTCACAATTACGGTACAATTGCTTCATATAACATATGCTTCCTCTGGCACGGTTGTCTGTTAGATCTCTTTATTATACTGTCTAACTCACAAAGCCAGCCTTAACTACACTCTTATTTCCTTCTTTTTAAGCAGGTAATGCTTCGCAGTTTCTTGTATAAAGCACGCAGCATGACACAAGAAACAAAAAAAAAACCGCTGAAATACCCAATAAGTGCAATGGAAACTCACCAATTTTAGTAGTACACCGCAACCTTCCGAATGCAAATGAAGTTCGACTGCTGGTGAATATGAGATGCGCCCACTTTTTATACCTGGTAATCGGAATGAGCTCCTTTTTTGTTATTCCTCGAAAAGATATGTTGCCCCCATAAGGTCAGTGCTAGATACTGAGCTCGTATGCTTCACACGTGTGCATCACGTATTTCAAGACAAGTCCTTCAATCCATTGTTCATACGACTGATAAATGTACTGCTAATCAGTCCTAATCTAACAGGATGTCTGTTTCTGCGTCCGGTGTCCTTTCCTTCAAATGACCTATGGAGTTTAGTTGAATCGCACTAAACTTTGTTCAATAATACCGGTCTCATATAATTTTACAACAACAGAAACTTACACCTAATGTAATCGTACTGCCAGAAGTGTCACCTTTAAAATTGTGCTCCTTTTATGAAGAAATCGCTGTGCATCTTGTATTTTTTAAATTTTTCATTATTTTAAACTATGACGTGGATGGCATTCTTAAGCCAAAAGCCTGCGGTGGCTCATCAAACGGGAAGTTTGCGCATGGGTATATGCCACATGGATGGTGTGTCGCGTCCCATGGCAGCGGGATCGAGTGATTCAAAACTCATGATCACATGATGACATCGCGATATGACGTCATGATTACGTCACAGATGACAAATTGTGCAACGTCATTACGACGACACCACGATATCATAGTAACGGCACGTGACGCATTCTCACGTGAGAACGTCATTACGTTGCATCGTACCATGGTGAAGGGGGGTCTGTTCCAGCAAGGCGAAACCATGTGAGGTACCTCCAATACAGTTGTAGAAATGGCATTTTTCCAACAATTTACAAATAATACTGATGGAAAATGAATATTTGGAAAATCACAATAAGTTTGCTCCATTTCAAGAAGAAGCCTAATTTTCTATGAGTGGACGCAAGGAATACCTGGTGGACTTGGTAGGTCATTAGGTCACCGCAGCTGAGAATTTAGCTTAGCAGTGGTCATAGGTGCTCTCTTGCTTACTCGAAGATCGTCGGATTGAATTCCAGCCACGGCTTGCATTTTAAATAGAGATGATTAAGTTTGAGACCCGTGTTTGGCAATTTAAGCGCATGTTTTTAAAACCAAGGTTTTCGAAGTTCTCGCAGCCCGCCACTACTGCGTCTTTCATAATCATATCAATGTTTTGAGACGCCAAACCATAACATTGTATTCTATTATAAGTTAGCTTGCTCACAGCTTACACTAAATGGGTCATTCAAAGTTAATAATCTTTACGTGTTATCATAAAGAGTTTTTTCATTATTTGTAAACGTATTCATCCTGAGCATCATTGTCATGATAACTATTTAGGAGGCCTCTTATAATAACGACATCGCTTCGACACGTTCACCATCGTTAATTGTCCTAATCGTAAAAGCGTCCATCCTTAATTGCAATGGCTTCATTCTTAACGTCAAAAAGGCGATTTAGCGCTCACTTTTTATCCAGAGGTCTGCTTCAGCATGCTTGAAGTGTAAGTCCTCGTCTTGTTAACCTCATCGATTCTTAGTAATGCACATTACATGTACCTCTCTGTGGCCTATAAATAAAGCTGACTAACGGAACAGTAGAGCAGTGCCTGAGTCACAATCATTTTGCATTAAAAGCACTTAAAAACTTACCTTATATACTCGTGAACTTCAACAGTAGCTCCACATCATGGTATACTTGTTATTGATACCAGCGACACAGGTGTGCGGAAAACATTTTTACGTAAGTGGTCGTTTACGATGTTCAAATACTTTTATTGTTAAGGCGTTGCAGCGCAGACACACGGCACCAATGATCTGCTTTTAGTGTTTTCTCTCGTAGGCGCTAATGAAACCATGGCGCGCCAGTTAAAAAGAAAGCAATGAAAAGAAAACTATGTATCTCGACATCAAATTAAAAATCTGAAGCGTTGTCCGTTTGTTAAATTTAATATAAAGAGACACTGAAAAGAAACAACGAGTTTTTTTTAATTTATAAACTGTACTTTAAGAACTGTAAACTCATAAGTTTCACTGTCACAATGCATTGTTACCGGAGAAAATCAAGGTTAAATTTTCATTTCTGAATATCGCGCCGTAATATCCACACGTAGCGTGAAAATTCCACGAAGTTTTTTTTTCGTAATTTCGCCACATCGGCTCAATGTAATTTTCTGAAACTTCATATGCTGGGTTTCTGGCACCCACCGGTTAAAATGTACTTCCGTTTTATTGGTGTGAAGCTACGTAGGACCTAATAGGAGCCTTCAACACTATATGACGTCACAGTTTTCGGCGCACAAACCTCAAGGTGGCGTCTCCACCAAAATGTTTTTGAGCGTTTTCTCGCTTTCCAAGAGTAAAACTTGTGTTTTAGGGTTCGCGAGATTGTATAATTTACTTCTAATACGCAACAAAGTGTTTTGCTTTTTAGGCTTTAGGGTATTTTTATAATAACACATGATAAAACCCCTATGTTAAGGTTAGTTGCACTAGTTAAGGAAGCTTTCGCACAACTAGTGGTGTACATCTCCGACCATTGCAGACACTGCTTTTTCCGTTCCCTGCCGGCTGCTTGGTTCCTAGGGTTGGCCATAGACGCTTGCCGCGTACACACGTGACTGTCGTGCACCCCTTTCCCGCTTGTGCAAAATGGCGGGGTGAGAGCCCGAGCATAATCACGTGATGTCACGATGCGTTCCATAATTGCTCACGAGAGTAAAAAGAAAAAAAGCTATTAAAATGTTTTATTACACCTGCGGGGGATTATGAAATGAGTTCGTCCAGGGTAGTGGTGGTTTTCCGCGAAAGCTTTTGACATCAGTTTGATAGAAGACGGACCACCCTACGACATCGATGGCTATGAAGCCTAACTTTCACCACTTAGCACATTACGCAGTCAACCCAGACCAACGTGAACGACGGTCTACTTGCAATGACTCAAAAGCGGTTCTGCAATCTATGCTATCAGCTCTGTGGTACGGAACAGGCCAACAATATTTTTTGAGGTTATATGCATGTTCGACAAGGAACACAATGTCACATTTCAGTGGCTGCGAAGTCAGCGCATTGTGATAGGCCATTAATGCGCTGACAAGGCTGCTCAATCAGCTCGTCAAGGTGATAAGAAAGACAAATGTTCTATCAAAAAGGGCTGCTGCTAGGGTAGCTCAAGCGATCATGTCACAACTTATTCCACGAGTACACAGTAATTAGACTGAATAGCTAGCCCCTCCGTTAGCCCAACACCTTACTTCGTTTTCAGGTGCTGATTCAGTTCACCGAAAAGGAGCTCCTTTGCTTTGCCCTTAATGAGTAAGATGGGCTTTCACACAACCATTTCATTTTCGGGTTGGTATGGCTGAAAACACTCCTCGTGGCTTCTGAGGAAGCGAGAAGACACTTGAATACATATGCTACGGCTGCCCTTGACACAATAATCATAATAGGCGCACATTCACAATCACTATAGGTCGTCCTGATAGCAGACCCATGACGGCAAATGCTGTTTTAGCAGGACGTCGTAAGAAGCCATCGCGGATAAATGCGACAATAGCATTGCTAAAAACGTAGATGACAGTCGACTTGGATAAGTAGTTACAGGTCTGTGGCACTATTATGACTGTTTCTGCGTGTGTGCGTGCGTGAGCGTCTGTGCATCTGTGTGTACTAATCCTCACTCTTTTTTCCCTCTCTATTTGTTTATGCTTCTACCTTTGAAAGCCCTGTGACCCTAACTCGAAAAAGGGTAGACCTACCTTGGTTAGGTATGTTACCTATCCAAAATCGGAGCAACCCTCTCCTCTTGTCTCCTTTGCCTTTGTCCAATGTGGGCTACTTCATCATACGGTAAAATGAGATAATACACCAGTTTTGCTAATCTCTAAAAAAACTCTCATTGCCGTCCATCTTGCGTACTTCTCTTGCGTTGTTACCATGGTTGCGGTATTTCCCACTGACGAACAAACATCCTGTGCGCTATCCGCTGGCCATGGCATTCTTGATATGAAAGTGGCGTGAGTGGCGTTTTCGTGAAAGGTAGGGTAAACAAGCCCTATAATGGTTATAGCTCTGTGGAACAAGTAATCCACGAATACGCTGTTTTTTTAGAATGCAAACTAATTAACATCTCTAGATTTCCGCTCTCTCCTGTTTATTCCTTGTTCAGAAAAAATTACTTGCAGCGTAGTTTTTGATACTCGATTTACCTTGCGTTTAACGAGTGTGTTGCTCAAGCATTCTATTGGTGTTCTATGTCTTAATAAATACAAGTGCTAACATGGTGGCTAGTACGTGTCTTTCCAATGAGAATTTGTGTGTGTGTGAGAGAGAGAATTACCTTCTGACAATGAATGTAAGTTTTTTAACTGCGCTGCCATCTTTTTTTCTATAACAGACCCTGGTCGTTTTCGTTGCAAACTGCTAGCTGATGCGATGAAGTGCGGGAGGAAGAAGATACCATATCAAAGTCTGACGTAGTCGTTCGAACCTAGAACGACAGAACACATAGCAAAAATGTCACCAGTTTATATACCGAGGTTCTAAAATTGATTAGTCGTATTTTTTAATGTGGATAAGACCACGTATTATGAGAGAATTTACTGCAAAACCTTTGTGTGTCATTTTTCAGGAGGTCACGGCAACAGTTTTATGTGAACTGAATTACCCAAAATTTTTCATGATGCCTAACATGTGTAATATAAAAAACTGAAATGTGCATAATCGTGCACTTGAGTTAAGGTGCACGTTCTTTGGAAGCTGCTGGAGAGTCTGACTTAGCAGTCGACTACCGTAGCTCAAACGCGTCGTCTTATAGATTATCTTAGACTGACATTATCAGCCGGAAAATGATCATCTGGAGAAGGAGACTCTTTAGGCAGTGGCTTGGCAGCAAACCAACGCAGTTGTCACTGTGTTGGTTTGCTGTCAGTCGTTTATCGGTGTGGTCTGGTCCGTTCCACGTGATGTGGTGTGCTCAGCTTCTCCATTCGCTTCGGGAATCTTAGCTGTATTTGACTTGCCTAATACTCTTCTTCACACATTTTCATGTATACGTGTGTGTGCATACTTTTACACGGCTCCAAAATTTTGGCCTTGGGCCAAGGAGCCATTGGACGTTTGCACTTCTTTTTGTGTTTCGGTGCCCCATGCAATTTTGCGGTCGCCTTCGATAAATATGGATCCCCAACTCAGCTACCTCTACAATCTTGTAACTCATCACGAGTCAGATGACACACTGGCTACCACATGCTACTAACACCCACAGAACGAGCGGAGTCGTGTCAGGAAAGGTACCCGTAAACAATTGCATTGTTTCGACTGACGGCGGGCATCACTGTCATAACATTTGCTTATATCTAAGCTGAGTTGCCATTCAACTGGGATCATGGAGAGTTAGTACGAAGTTCTTGGCTACTTTGTTCATTGTTTTAGTAAGAACATAACTGCGAGGGAAAAGGAGCGAAAGAGATAAGGCACCATGAGCGTGTATGGAGAACTCCCGAATCAAGCTTCTTTGACCTTATCATATCCTTACCGTATTATCCACCTTCAGCCGTCAAATTGCCTCTAAACTCCGGTCTCCGGAGATCAAGCAGATCATTCCATGACTTTACTGATAGGGACGGCTACCGCTTTGACAACAAGTTATATCCCAAGCTGTTTCCAGATATCGTGGCTGTGAGTGAGGGGGTGGTGCGTTTGGTGAAAATTAAATAATGCACGGTTATGATTATTGGAAGCCGGACTTTAGGAATTGAAAACCATGTTCGAGCGACGAAACATAGCCCGTCATAATAAAGTTTTTGGCCTCCAAAATGTTTACTCTGGGCCAACCAAAGGTTTATAAAGTTTTACGTACTTTCAAACATATGCGCGTGCCACCTCTAGCTACGCCAGAAAAAAAAGAACGTTATATTGATTTGGTACAAAGACACCAACGGTTGAACATAGCTGTGCAAATGTTGTTTTCCTTGACAGTTTACTCGACACGTTTTTTTTCGCATTCTGTATGAACAGTGCAATGTCTAACCTGGAATTACCACTCTTTTATAATATAATATTATATTATAATATTAAGGCCATAGTGGTTATCAAGCTAGAGTGGTTGCGGCAGTTACCAAATGAGTATTTATAAAAGGCTCTGAAGGACCACTCTTCTTGCTTTCGCTGTGACTGTGCCGCACCTTCCGAGCAGGCCTGGCTTTTTTTTACATGCGGAGCATGGTATACTAGGGGCTAGTCATGTACCGTTGCCGTCCGCAACGTCCCCTCCTCCTCAACCAGCCATCTGTGCATTCCTTCCTCCTCTCAACACAGCGCGCGCTGCGCTCGCTTCTCCCCTCCGCGCGCCGCGCAACCTTTAGTTTTACGTGCGCCAGCTGTATGCTAACGCGCGCATGCGCAGGCCGGGGCCGGAGCTTGCTATAAATAGCCGAGTGTCGGGGCGCGCCGCCCTTCGTCAGTTGGTTTGTGCGGTCGCTCCACGTCCGATGTAGCTGGTGAAAATGTATGCTAACGAATCCGCAAACACACTTACTGACTTCCCTTTCAATAGCGTCAGCCAATGTGTTGGCGGAACCGCAAGCAAATCCGAAGACACTTCGTCCGTGGACAAGGCAGCGCTGAGAACAGCTCGCGATGCGGAACGCAAACGTCGGCGTCGAGCGGAAGATCCCCAGCTTCGAGAACGTGAAGCCGCTGCGAGGTGTAAGCATCGGCAAGAGAATCCGGACGGTGAAGCCGCGTGCAAGCCTCGACGCCTCGAAGCCTATCTCAATGCCTCCCGTGAGCACGAGCACGCCGCGACAGTGGCGTGGCGAGCCAAGCAGTATGCCACGCCCAACGCTCGCTTCAAGCGTGACTTCCTCGACCGGAGCTTCAGCCACAGCTGCAAGGTGTGTGATCGACTTTGGTTCGACAACAACTTGACGCGGATCGGCAACATTGAGAATGAACTCCATAGTTCCAAAGCGTTGTCGGTTCTTTGCTATGCGTTTGGAAGCAACGCCGACGAATTTGCCTACTACGTCGTGTGTGCCACGTGCAAGCAGTCATTAATTGCCGGTAGAATTCCATCGCTCAGCGTGAGTTACGGCTACCGCTACCCGCTCCGACCGGAACATCTACCCGAGTTGAACGCTGTCGAAGAACGGCTCATCCCTCTTCGACTCCCGTTTATGGGTATACGACGCTTCACTCACGGCAACGAACAGAACGGAATCAAGGGCCAGGCAGTGAACGTCCCCATCAAAGTTCCAGTCGTCGAAGACCTCCAACTGCGGCCCGGCGCTAAACAACGCGCCAACGGCGAGCACTGCGTCGCCAGCGTCTGTGGAGTCGACGTCATGACGATGTACGTCGCACCCAACCTATCACGTGCCGCCATGGAGAAGTACGTCGACGAAGCCGTGGAAGATTACCTGAAACAACGACCGCAATGACGACCCTTGGTGATAGTTGGCGACTTCAACGTCAACGTCATCAAAGACGATTGGGTGGTCGACTACATTGAGTCGCGGCACTCGCTGAAACGACCAACGCACGACAGCAAACATCATCCGACCACGATTCGCGGGACGTGCATCGACCACGTCTTTGCAAATTTCGACCTTCGACGGCTGCAACCAGACCAACTCACCTTTCCCTTTACGGACCGTGAATCCATCTTGCTCAAAATACCCAAAGCGTATCATTAATAAACATCGTCTTTCGCAGCATACGTGCGTGCGTATTCACTCGTGTTCACTCATAACACACACGCATGTCACAAATTACAAACCAAATTTATCGCAGTTCAACATTTATGCTCTGCATGCTAATCAGTGACCAGAAACATGAATCTAAGTAATCTTCATTGAGGCACTACTTTCGCGAAAACGTTCACTTAAACCTCTTTGCTAGTACTTATTAGAAATGCCTGAAAAGTCGTTTATAGGCTTTAGAAAGTCATTAAAAAAGCCCTTTTGAACATTTACTTCAGGCTAATATAAAAGATACTGCCATTAAGGTTGAAGACAAAAACAAGGTATTTGCCAACATCGTGCCTTTACGAAAAGCTTCTGTGCGGCTATCAAGACTGATGGGAATAATGTTCATACAAAGCGACAAAAAACCTGTGTGTGTGTGTGTGTGTGTGTGTGTGTGTGTGTGTGTGTGTGTGTGTGTGTGTGTGTGTGTGTGCGAGCGTAAAACCATTGTCGTTGTCTAAATCTCCAGCTCAATGAGCTTCGTCAGTTTGACACCTTCAAAAAGAAGGTATTTTAGTTATCATGGCCTAAATAAATATCTCTAAACAAAATGTGGTGTAAATGAATTAGCCAAGTATGAGTGTGACCAGAGAACTTGTTGACTTTCAGAAAAGTGAGGAGGGGGAAGAGAATGACAAAGAATCTCTATTTTAAGACCAAATGTTCATTTACCTAAGAAAAAGTGCGTGGACGAAGAATCTCAGCAGTGTAAAAAGGGAAAAGCTCGCCTAATTTTTGGTCCACGCGTACCTGAGGACAATGGGAAGGCGCCCATTGCGAAGGAGCCCTGTAGATTTGCCGGGCGCTTCTTCATCGGGCCAGGGTGTAGTTGGTCACAGGAGTCGCAGAATAGGGACGTTCTGCGTTTTCCTTGCACATAAATTAAATGTTTTCAGCAGAAATGTCACCTAATCTTTTTTTTTACATTGCCAAGAGTGTATTTTCACGCCAAATTTCGCTGAGTGCGCAGTTTGGGCTGGTACAAGAATAAATAAACGCGTTCAATGTTTGAGGCATTGCATGTCGACCTTTGCCCCGCATGCTTCGATAACATCGATTCTCAAGATGTATGGAATGAACTCATATGCCTAAAAAATTACCTGTCACGAATGTCTTCCCCTCCCGGGTGTCCGATTGATACACGCGCACTTATACATTGAGTGCGCAGATAAGGTTTCTTGTCTTCTTTCTTTTACGTCTTTGTGCGCCTTCGTTCTAATTAGACATCGTCTGTAGCCTTTAGACTTCCTTTTTGTGGGCCTGTTTTAATGTGCAGTCTTTGAGAATAGCAAAATTTATACCGTGCCCTGTTTGTGTTATATTTACTGGTAAATAATGGAGAAGGCGTGTAACATGGCAGAGAGACATCCCGATAAAGAAAGCTCGTTTTGGTACTGGTTGCTTTACGGTTAAATACTACATGTTGCAAGTTTGACACAGGACCATAAACTAAAGAACACTGAAGCAAAGACAAACGCTACACAGAGGCTTGTTCTGTGCTTTGGTGTTCTTTATTTCTTGGTCCTGGGTTGATCGAATCTGTGCCATTCAGTATTTAGGGCAAAATGACATTCTCTCTTATATTTCTAAGCAAATATAATAATGACATTATGCCCCGTACATTGGTCCTACTGCCGTTAATGTAGATTATCCCGAAATGTGGCTTCTATGATCAGCACGTCCGAAGTTTCTGCAGATACCACGCAATGCTCAAATTGATTTCTGGAGAAACACCGCAAACGCACTAGATAGTTACTGACGCCGATTTTGTTTTAACTTTCGGCGAAGCATTACGTGGTGCTTTGACGTGCTTGTGAAGAATGAGTACTTTCTCCGCATCACAGTCATCAGACTCGTTAAAATTGTGTTTACTAGTGATATTTATGATAGTACGTAAACAGGATTCACCTGTATATGATTACAGTAACAATTTTATTTCTTATAAATGCAGTTTAGTTTGATGAAACTTGTCAGGCTAAAACTATCTAAGGAAAAATGCACGTTTTTTGCATGTGACAAATTATTCAGCTCTTTTATTTGTGTCAGTGTTTAAGTTGGCCCAAAGCCTTTCCAACACCAAAAAGTCGCTGTGCTGCTCCCTTGATCAGATCGCGCAAGATCTGCATAAAGTCCATGCGACTAATTGAATCCTCGATCGCATACTGGCCCGCAATCCTAGTCAATATCTTGGACATAATCTCAGCTGCCTTTTCTTTCAGTTTTTGCTGGGCTTCCGCTGCGACTCTCTGGATGTGGCCCTTGGCTTCAGTGAACGCGTCTTGTACGGATGACGTTGCCTTCTGTGTGGCGTTCTTCAGGGCTTCTGTTGCTTTGGCCCACAGATCACGAATGAAGTACTCGTCACTCTGAAGAAAGGGACAGCAGCGTGAGTAGGCCGTTATAAAAACACACGCCAGTTGTGTGCAAGCACATGCTATATCAGATTTTACCACCACGTGTTATGAGAAACCGCTACCTTGTATTTACCTCATAATACTTTAAAAGGAGCCCCACTTGTACAATCATTAAAACGCACTGTATGAAAAATTACTAAGTTATATTTATTGTCTTACTGCAATTCGTATTTCTGTACCTAGTCTTATTGACCTTCAATAGGGCTTTGTAAAAACTCGGCATCTAAGCAAGATCTAGCAGTAGTTAATGACACACAAGGATTCTGTCTCGACATTTATATAGCTCAGCGAGTTTGAACGATTGCGAGTTACCCATGGTGTGGACGTTGCGGTCCTTCATAAAGCATTTCTTCCCTTCCTTCGTGTGTGTTAACGGTAAGCAGGTTTTATATAACATCATGAAATGCTGACAATTGTGAAAAGGAAACATCTAATGCCACTGCATATGAGTAGTGTGAAACGAGGCACAATAGATGGAAGAATGTATTCAGATTACGTGAATAAATATTTACCGTTCGTCTCAGGCCTAAAATACTTCTGCTACATAAAAATGAAATTATTTTAAAGTGAATACTAAGTTCATATCCATACACTTGGCACACCTCATTCCCTTGTTCATTGATGAGAATGTTTTCAATGCGAGCACGACATGCGAGATTGTTTTACAGGGCCTACTATCGGTGAAGCAGCATTCACTCCATTGTTAACAACTCACCGCAGCCTTCAGGTCATCGTCGTCGGCTAGCATCTCTGCCACCTCTTCAAGGATCGCACCCAAGTATGTGGCTTCCTGGGAGGCATCTTTGAACACTACGTCAACTCTTGATGTTTGGTCGCGAAGGGTATGTGCATTCACTGAAAATAAAAAAAAACTGGTCAGGAGACGTTCTGCATCTTCAAACATAAGGAGCTTATAATAAATTATTTTCCACCACTTTCCAAATTCAGGCTTCGGAAAGACACTATCACGATGAACAGTTGGGAGCATCGCCTGAAACAGCGCCGGAATTGACAATTCTCTTGCTACGTACTAATGCGGGTGGCCTCGACCAGCCTTGTAATGCTTCACCCAGCCGTAACTCATGGCAAGGCGAGCAACATGACGGGCTTTTTTAACACTGTTTTTTGAGTTCATGATTATTCATTAACCCCAATTGACGGAGAACGTTACTTGTCTACGCTCATTGTTGAAATTATTTCAGTACGTACCTGTAAAAGCGACGAACACCAGTAGAGAACCGATGGTGAAAATCGACCTCATGGTGACTGCAACAAGCAAAAGACGTAAGTTTTACCGGTGCAAATGACTTTGTTCAAAAAATGGTTTAAATTATATATGGTGGAAGTAGTCCTTCGCAGCCCTTCAATAAGCCTATTTCGATATAGGTTTACACAAACGAAACATATTTGCGGTCACCCTGTCGTAGTTGAGCCAAGTATATTCGTCATGCTATTGAACAGAAGGAGTGCTAATATGCGGCGCTTCGACACGCCATGGTGGTCTGGTGACTAAGGCACGCGGCTGCTGGACTTAAGGGCGCGAAACCAAATATCGGCTTGAGGCGGCTGGATTTTCGATGGAAGCGAAAATATTTGAAGTCCGTGTGCTTAGATATATGTTCATGTTAAAAAACTCGAGGTGTTGGAAATATCCTGAGCCCTTTACTACGGCGTCTCTCATTACCATATGGTGGTTTTCACACGTTGAATCCCAAATATAGAAATATAATATGCAGCGCTTACACTTCGTGGGAAGTGGATTTGTTGTCTTCAGCATTATTGCCTAGACTGATGTGATTTTATTTCTAATGTATAGACATGCACGCGCGTGACTCAGCTTTCGTTAGTAGTGAATTTCACGTTTAGAATATTGCAAAGCGATTATAAGTAATTCCGTCTTCAGTATTCCATTTCCCACATGTGTCAGTAAAAATAGATATGACCATTTTTAAGCGGGTAGCCACTTCTACTTTCACGTTGACTACTGTGCCGCGGGCTAGAGGGAGAAAAAATTAAGGCAGCTTCGCACTAAGTTTGCCAAGCCCGAATGAAGGGCGGAGCTGGGTTGCCTTCTTAGTTTGTCCTCACTTTTCTTTTACTTCTCCCTGTCTTTCATTCTTTCTTTCTTCCTTTCTTTCTTTTTTTCTTTTTTCTTTATTTCTTTCTCTCCTTTTCTGTCTTCGGTCTTTTCTGTCTATGCTTATTTATTTTTTTTATTGCTTACGGTCTCTTTACCCAATTCTTTCATTTTCGCGCATCTTACTTTATTTTTAATTTTCCTCTTTCTCTCCATCTACAATTCACCCTTCCTTTTCAATTCTATTTATCTGTGTTGTTCCACTCATGTTACGCCTATCGCACAAGCTTTTTGTGAACTGAACATCTACCCCTCTTTCATGTTGTCGAGAACATAAAAGATGTTTAGCATGTGATTTAGAGACGACAAGCTTCCCACAGTGGCCTAATTTTGGTCCCTGGCCTTTCGAGAGTAAAGATTTGAAGTAAAAAAAATACTGTTCTAAGAATGCGTCGTAATTGATCCAAGAACTTGCATGCCCAGCGGTAAAAAAAATAGTTTCAATAGCGACTCTTCACCAGTATTTTCCGCGTTGAGTAAACGATACCACGCACTCGATATCTCGGGCAAGTTGACATCATGTGTTCGGGCAAAATGCGCTGCCGGATGTTGACAACAAAAAGACAGTACGAAACGTATAAAGGCGCTATGTATGCGTCTTGGTGATCAACAAAACACTAGAAGAGCTAGAAAAAGAAGACTGCTCTTCGGCGTGAGCGCCCGCTCATTGTGCAACACGTGCAGCCTTACGGCAAGCGATGACGATGGCATACTATAGCACAGCCCCTGAAGTGTTTCTCCCTGAACACGTACATCTACTTATTAAGCGAAATGTCACTTACCAACGTTACAGGTACACGGCAAACTTCCACATATGAATTGATCTTGACTGATAGGCCACAAGACATGCTTCCATCTTTTATAGGGGAAAATCAGGACCCGCTTCTTTTTTTTTTGAATCAATACATTATTCCCTCTTTCCAGAATGAGGGTACTAGATAAAGACCCAGTATGCACCGCACATGTTGCGCGTATCTCGAGATATGTCTTCAGTGCTATTGTTCGTAGATCTGATTCGGACGTCCTTCTATAGTCAGTCACAATGGAATACGACCTCTGCTCCTGCATCTTGCGGCCTTCTTGTGAAATCACCTTTGGAGTTTAGTTGAACCCTACTACGCTTTATTGAGCAATAGCGTTCCGATAGAGCTCTAGGACTGAAGCAGCTTACGTGTAACCTGATTCTATACTTTGAAGTAGGATCTTTAGAAATGTGGCATGTGATTCCTTCGTAACATGACTCAATTGAGACAAATCCTGTGGTAGGCAACATTGCCTGCTACTGAAAAAAAAAACTCGCATTATGCCTTTGTGGTTATAGAAGTAAACAGTTCATATGGAAATGGTGTATTGTCTACAATCTATAGTAGTGGTCAGAACTTTTTATTTTACACAGAAGAGATCCCATGCTTGCTGGTGTGTTTTTTGATGGGACTGTCATTTAACTAATATGCTGATGCTATTGAAACGCTGTTTAGTGGAGTAATACGGATGACTTAGAACATATGGGAATTTTAACGTGCTCTGACATTGCACAATTTTATTCAAAGAATTTAGGAAGACATTTTTATAAGCAAAATAAAATCACCGCCGGGCACTGTGTAGTTGTTAAGAGCTGATACTGATCCGTGCTGTCCTGGTGTTTGTTACTGGGCAAGTCATTCATTTGTCTAAAGTTTGCCACCATAATTGTTCTTTATTAGTCCTGTCCTCCTTTCTTATTCTATATTTGTGTGACTATCCAGTGACAATCCTTGCAATTTTTTTAGACAATTTTGTCAAATGTCAGTGCTAGTGAACTGTGGCTATGTTTGGTGAATGATGATATGGAGGGTTCTAAAATGTTCAGAAAGGTCTGCACTAATTATTCGAAAGCGTACAAGCTTTGATGAATAACTAGGAATTTGCGTAATAAAAATCAATATCTGAAAGACATTTCTTCGGTCTCCGCGTAAAAGGTTTCACATATGATGATTATCTGTAAATATAGTACTGTACAACTCCGTAAAAGTGTAAGCTTGTATTGGAGTACACTGTGTTGTATGAATACGCACTCTATGCGTACATGAGTGCTGATACTTGCTCTTTTTGCACGTTATCAGAGCAAAGCCTTACATAAGACATTTATTTAGTCGAGAAAAAATATCCTCGTATTGGCTCATTTGCCCCATAGTTCATATTCACACGTCATCTAATTCTCCTAATCACGTCAATCCTAATAAGGTTCTTTTCACGAAACCGCGAAGATGCGTCCCTATTTCTCTGATGGCCAGGTAGTTCTAACAAATTCAACTCATCCGAGTTACACAGTTCATAATAGTGACTCTAAACACGACCGTACGAGGCAAGGAGGTATAAAGCTCCACAGCAATACACTCGCAAATTTTCGTTTCCCCGTTGAAGTCGCAGCAGCACTTACACGAGTGACTTGACCTGCTGATGCTCTTTCTTACAGTGGTGAAATTGATAGATATGTGGGGTTTAACGTCCCAAAACCACTATATGATTATGAGAGACGCCGTAGTGGAGGGCTCCGGAAATTTAGACCACCTGGAGTTCTTTAACGTGCACCCAAATCTGAGCACACGGGCCTACAACATTTCCGCCTTCATCGGAAAAGCAGCCGCCGCAGCTGGGATTCGAACCTACGCCCTGCGGGTCAGCCGCCGAGTACCTTAGCCACTAGACCACCGCGGCGGGGCTTACAGTGGTGAAATATTGCTACAAATAACCCCAACGTATGCTGCACAGCTAAGTGTGAAATACTGTTGACGTTATTGTGATACCTCCATAAGATGACTGAATAATTTATTACCTCCGTAACACTGTTCCTAGGGTGTAAGTTTTTTGGTCGAACTGATAGTGGAAGGGCAACAAATCTTTTTTCGTGACCCCCCTCGATTTTCACGTAGGAAATTGCCGAGTCTATAGTCAACTTGCTATACAAGGTGATTGCCCATAGTAAACGCGGCACACACATAGCGATTTGTGCTGTTAAAGATGCTTAGAAAAATGTAGTAGAGAATCAACAAGCATCATATTGTGCCATGGTAACACGCAAGTGTTTTTTGTCCGGATTGTTGTTACGTAGTGGTGCTACAGAGGTATTTGCCTGAGTTATTAAATCCAGGTGAAGCCACAGGCACATCATGTGAAGGGTTTCTGTAGATGCTACGCTGGTAGGTAAGTTTGTGTTATAAATGTCACCACAGTTATGCGAGAGACGGTGATTTCCTCATGTTTTTGTTATCGCTTTAGTGTCGGGGATTGCGCTTCTGCCACAGGGATTCCCCTGTCATACGTTACAATGGCTGTACTTGGTTGCTGCAATGATTATTGGCGCCGGTATCAGTGCCGATACGGGAGGTCACGGGTTTTCTAAAGGCGGTGTTCGCGGGAGCCATTTCTCCGCGATTTTTAGGGGCGAAACTCCTTATAGCGGCACCCGTTCGTCCCCCGTATTTTGTAACAAGTATAGCATTTTGACCTCCAAGGTAGTGCCGGTGAGAGACTTCTTCTGTGCGTTGTTGAACAATAAAAAATAGTGCTCAATGTACATGTCAATGGCTGCTAATGAGGAATGAGAGACAGCAGCATTTGGCTTTTAGTTAACGCGCAAGCTGCGATTACCATTAGCAGCCATTGGCATGTACATTGAGCACTATCTGACAAGAAAGGGTTGCTACGTTATACTCGCTGGGTGTAACCTCCTTAGCTTTAGAAAGGTTTAGCGAGCGTTAAGCTGCAGTGCCATGAATAAAATGAACTTGTATATACCATGAATGAACCCGAGGTGGTTAAAAATGGGAAGTAGATACGAAGCGCAAGCCGTAAGAAAGTGAAAGCCGAATTCTCCGCCTCTCATTTCCCATTAGCAGCCATTGGCATGTACATTGAGCACTATCTGACTGAAAAAGTTTGCTACGTCATACTCGCTGGGCGTAACCTCCTTGGTTTTCAAAAGGTTTAGCGAGCGTTCGGCCACAGTGCCATGAATACAGTGAACTAGTATATACCATGAACTCGAGGTGGTTAAAGGTGGAAAGTGGACCCGAAGCGCAAGCCGTAAGAAAGTGTGCGTGTGCCACCTCTCGTTTAGTCCTTGGAATGTCCGCTGGATGTCGGTGCTTCTATATGGGGAATATATAATGAAAAGATGTGAGATGGTGGTACTTGGAGTGTTGAATAGATGGACGAACGGACACATAGACAGATGCATGGATGGACGCATGAACGGACGCAGGGGCGGCTGCATGGACGAACGCAGGGACGGACGCAAGAACAGACGCACGCACGGACGGGCTGATGGACGCATGGACGGTCACACTGACGGACGCATGGACGGACGGAAGCAAGAACGAATGGATGGACGAATTCTTCACCCCACTCTCCATCATTCACTCCGTGGATATGCTCCATTTTTTTGAGAACGCAGTCAACCCGGTATCCGCCATACAAATAATGTTTGGCTGGTCCTAGTCGTGAAGAAGATAAACAATTTCATGGCAAACCAGGTGGCCTACGGGTGTCTGTATGTTTATTATAACCGGGAAATTTCATTCTGGTTAACCTCCCTGCCTTTCACTTAACCGCTCTTTCTCGTTCTACTTGCGAAATCAAAAACCAAGCTTTCACAATAAAGCTGTTCAAAAACGTAGCACTCTCTTATTTCAACGTGGACTACTGTTCTTACTCAATGCTACTGTTGGTGTCAGTAGAAACACTCTCGCTACTGTTCAATTGCCAATTGATGTCAAGCCAGCGGTGTATCGTTGGTAAGAATACCTTTCAGCGGAATGACACAGCTGTCATACTGGTGCGAAGACATGCTGGCTTGACCCATGTGCGCTGCTCAATGTAACAGTGCATGCACAATGGATGCCCTTTTCTGCCATCGTCCCCAGTTGGACTAAAATTAGAGGTAAAGCATTACTTGGCGTGACTCAGTAATTGTCGATTCATCTATTTATTTATTTATTTACTTATTAATTTTACGTACTGTAGACTAACTGCTTGGTCCTCGTTAGAGGGGCAGAAGAAACATAAAACGAACTGTAACAACGATACATGAGTAGGTTCACTTAAATTCTCATCAGTACGCCTATTAGCCCCGAGAACAAACACTGGCGTCGCGGCGGTCGCGGTGACAGCACGTCGCGGCACGAACTCGCCAGCTCCGCTAGCGCTTGTTGCCTTTTTCAACGTCCGCCGTGTCTGCACTCTTTAGCGATACGTTGATGATTATTGTTCCATTTTGCTACGCCGATTTCTCAACATACAAGGTGCAAGGTTTCGCAACCAGTGAAAGTTTTTAGAGCTGTTAGAAGTTTCCATAATTTAGCGTAGGATAGGGTGACTCCCGTCCGAAGGGAAGATTTACTGTGAACATGGTGATGCAAGACGTTCGTTGTTTTTATCACGTACACGACACAGTGAGTGCGAACAAAATATGTAAGTGGTACTGCTGATATTACAACTAGGCATAGACGCCAAGATTAGAACATGTATTTGCCGAAGTATTCAAAAAATCGGGATGTTTTCAATTCACTAATACATTGCGCTTTACCGTGCATGTTACGCCTGCATCTGCGAATAATTTAAATGACTTGACAGAACGTCACTTTCTCAGCAGAAGACATTATGAATATGACTGTCATAAGAACTCACGTAACATATTCGTCAAAAAAAATAATACTGCGGCACACACAAAGTTTTCGGAAATAATGAGATATTTCCGTTCACTGGGTTCATATATGTACAGATTTCTTCTCAACAGTCGCCAGGGATTATGTAGTCGTCCTATACCATGATTTCAGTGAAATGCTCGAGTGTTCTACCGCCGAGTAATAAACGCTAATGGGAGCTTCACCTGGGAGCGCCGCTGAT